CTCGGAGATCCTGTTATTTTGTTGTTTACACTCATGCCGTACTACTACTTGCAGCTCAAATTTTTACAATATACGGAACCCTCAATACCCCGCCAATGTTGGGATGACCAAGACCTTAGATCTTGAATGATGATGGATGAAGGGATAAAAGGGAGGTAAATTCTGCATCCACTGACTCCCCGGTCGGTTCCTAATCGGCTCGCAACATGTATGACGTGGTTTCCGGTATTGGAGCACTTAGCACTGCACTCGATGAGAAAGTTTGTAGTTAGCAATTTGAATGTCGATATAGCAGTGTAATTCAAAAGTATACATAGACTTAATTTAAATTATGAATAAAATTTGCTTGGCCACACGCTTTCTTTTTACTTGATGCGAATGCCGAAGAGCACCCCGAGACCTTGCCGAGACATACTTTCTCGAAAGTTCTATATTTTGCGCTTCATGGTCCTTCGAATTTGCCATGAATTGCTTTAATTTGACCCTTGTACTACCAAAAAATGCTGAAAATATAACCGGACGAGTCCAACATGACACATAGTGGATGGCGAATTCAGTTCAGTTCAGAGACGTTCATCATGACATGCTGCGACTGTAGTACAGTACTAATACAACAGTAATATTAATCCTCCTTTACTAAACAGAAAAAAGAATTGCCCAATAGACATCTTTTCATTGTTTTGTTGTTATTTTTGATATTTGATATTTTTCTTGTCCTTCTCAATCTGATTTTGAGAAGTTCCATCCAATGGCACCTAAATATTTCCCACAACTTGAAAACGGTGGATAGTAAAAACCGAAAGTTGTTCTCCTGAGGTTTGAGTTACTCTGCTCATGTTATAAGTATGATTACTGCTTAATTTTTGAAGAGCTCCAACTAATCACTATAGCTTTTTTGACCAAGTTCCAAGCTAGATGCTGTCACACATGTGACAAACATAAGAAAATTATTGTCCATCCGAGACGCAGTGACTCCCATGCACCTCTTGTCAGTGCGCTGCATTGAACGACGGTTGGATGGACTGGATCACACATCTCCATTCATTGTATACCGTCAGCATAGTCCACTTTATGATGCCCACTCCTCTATCCTAAGCTCTTCAACGGTTCGTAGACGACCGGTATTATCCAAGCGCACCCTAGAATCCACAAACCAGTGCATCATCAGCGAAGGTGCAATAGAGTAATATTATATGTATCATAATACTCACAGGGTCTCGTCTTCCAACTCGGTATGATTCTTAACACGGAGGTGAACCATCGGTAGAGCAAAGAAAAGTCCAGCAACCAGAAGTATCCAATTTGAGAGGAAGATATTCATAAATCTGAGCAACTCGGTGAAATGAAATGAAAGTTGAGATTATGAAAAGGTAAGGAGACACATACGGAAGCTTGACAGCATCTGCCCGCCAAACGCCAGCGGCTCCGGCGGATTGGATAGATTTGTCTACAATCACAGTGGTTAGTTCCACGGAGAGAAGCATGAGGAAGAAGTTGAGGGAGAGACTGACAAAATCCAACCATGATTGCCAACTTGCCCGCATCGTTTGACATTGCGCCCATGAGCCAATATGCTGTACTCTGCCACATGGAATCTAGCAATCCAAAGCAAATATACAAAAAGACGCGTCCAACGTATCGTCCGTTGTAGATGTCAATGTTTGGAAGTGGGGTTTGGCGCGTGTACTGTCTACAGATGACCGACAAATGGCTTCACTCATAGTGAGCGAGATGTCATACCTCTGATAAAAATATGCCCATATATGAGTGGCGAATACCATAGCAAGGAGAACTGTCCAGCTAGCAAAAGCCCGAGCTCGACGCTTGAGTTTGCAGTCGAGAAGCAAGCTAATGGCGATCGACCCCAATATCTGAGATGCCCAGTACAAGAATGCATTCAGTGAACGACCCCGTAAGGTGAATAGAAATCCATTGTAGTCATTAAACTCTGCAAAATTCAAAGAGTTTAAATACCACATGCGTGAGCACATTGACAATAAAACTCACGCCAAGTGTAGAACCAATTCGAGACAAAAAACATTGGGAATAAAAGTATAATCATTGGGTCAGTCTTCAGGGTGAGGTACAAACTGTATAGTTGGGTCTTCCATGAAGGATGGAGAGGGATGGTGACTTTGGTTCCATCGGTACGGATGATGTTCTTGGGATTGACCATAAAGGTGGGGATGCATATCCCTATGGCATTGAGGACAATAAATGCAATCTGAGACTTGGTCTTAGCCTTAGCTGTGTTGTATCAAGTATGAATTGCATACATATGTTCCATTTCCGACTGAGGTGTGTCGAATCAGATTGGTAATACCCTAGCATCTTATTCATAGTCCACTCACCAGTTCCTTCCTATGTTCAATTATTCACTTCACCGTTCGAGTATTTACAATCAGAATATGCGTACCGTGTTATCAAAATTTGCCGCAAGAGCCACTGCGGACCCCACAACACCTCCTAGATTGAATACAGTCCAAAATATGGCAATAAATCTCCCCTTTTCGGACTCAGTAGGGTAGGCTAACATTAACGAGCCTTCTGCAGACCAAAGAAGTCCAGAGCAAGCCCCCTGGATGACGCCAGAGGCGACGACAAATCCCCCCGCTTTGGGGTGGATGTTAAGTGCTCTATGTACGGTTCAGTTTGCTGTCTTTTTGAAAAGGAATGCTACAAAGGGCAATCCGCTCGAGTAGCAGAGCGACGCACAGATATGATCCAATATGCAAACAATAACCTATTGTTCCCAGTTGAAGGGTGAGCTTAGAGCCAAGCTTGTTATTGACCGAGCTAAATGCGATCATAATTCGATAGAGGTACGGCTAAAGACGGAACGAACCCAGCAAAGAAGCCTGCCACTGCACTCGTCGAGTATATTGCCACGTTCGAATTGGCACTTGTAGTTGGATCGAGCTGGCCCCCACCTCCCAAACCGTTGGAAGCATTGAACAACCCTATTGAGCTGTTCACAGCTAATCAGTTATCCATTCGACTATGCTCACCGGGTTCCATGAAGCACACAAATCCCAGCATGAAAACCTCCGGAGTCATCGTATTTACGTCGGGACAAGGAAAAGAAACAGTTCTACATAAGCTCACCTGAGTCAAGGGATGCTGAAAAACTCCCTTGAATCCAGTGGGTCTCTCGTATTTGACTATACCTTGGCGACTGGGCGTCGTAGGAGATGTCGGAATCTTATCCTGGGGTTCATTCATGTTGACAACACTACGGGATTACTCGCTCTCCTTGCCGTTAATGTTCTTGGCTAATTCACGACGTTCGAAGCCTCAAAGATTGGGGGTCTTCGGATGTTGAATGAAGACAAGTATCAGTGGGAATACAAGGCAGAGCTCCGCTGATTCCCCGTGGGTCAGTTCCCACTCGGCTTGTAATATTTATACCAATGTGCATATGACCGACATTCCTGGCATCTGACTGTTTAACAATTCTTAATAGAATGAGAAATTTCGTCATTCGAATGTCAGCAGGCAGCGCATGAGATCTGCTGGTTAGAACCTGCTGCAAATGCGTAGAGGTTAAACTCCTGAGATATTCGTGTACTGTAGACAACACATCAGAAGAAAATACTTTTTCTGATGCAGTTGGCACAACAGCTCCTCCAACTTTCAATAAACACCCTGACTAGAACTACCCGACAATCGCTGAGAGTGTTCAGACCGATATTCAACTGGAACATTCAACATGACAATGTTCCAGGAATTTATTGTACACATGCACCTTCAGCCTTACTGCATCTTTTCTGTCCAGTGAAGCATTCAACTTAACTTGGATCCTGATCCCCAATCTTTGCAACTAACACACAGGTAAGTTGAGATTTGAGATTTGATTGTGATGTTGAAATCCGAGCTTTGATATCACGGTTAAGCCATAAATTTCAACTCGTTTGTGTAGGGTTGCAAAGATTGGAGAAGTAATGATACATCCAAAAAGTTGTAGAACAGAATAAGAACTTCGTCCCTTAGTCTCCACTCTCGGGGCTGCTACTTATATATATGAGTGTGTTATATGTTACCCAGGTCTATTACCTTCTTATACCCAGGTCTTCTAGGCTTGAGCTCAGGACCTCGCCTAGGTATTTCAAAAGCAGTTTGCGAAGAGCAGATAACACCGATAAGCAATTTCAGATGCGTTAGATGAACACTCTCGTTCATAGTTTCTCCAAGTTTTCAGTCCAAGCTTAGGCCCCTAGCCAACTAGATGCAAATTCCCGGGCCCAAAACTCCCCAGCGAATCGCGATCCCGATTTGTCCCTCGCAAGTCAGGGACTTGACCTTCCCACCGAGATAATCAATACGCCATTGAGCTGCAGCCGGGCCTGCCACACAGCGGTGTTAACTCGGATGCATGCGCGGTCCCAAGGCAGTGAGGATCTTTACGCTAACCACCTGAGGCTCAAAAATACGTCATACGTTTTAATGTTCTCTCCAGCGCGGTTCCTACTCAATTGAAGTTGTAGATAAGTATTAATGAGTCCCGCGGGATTGGTCAGTTTTACATAGTCTGATAGCGTGCATGGCAATATGGCACTACTGATGAATGAACACTGCGTTCAAACCGCAAGGAAAAGTGATAACTGTAAGTATTAAAGCTTATATTGCAGTCCGCAGTCCGCAGTTTCGGAGATGCTTTTGCTCCGTATTCAACTTGAACATGTATGTAAGACCGAAGCAAAAGAGGAGTCCAGGAATCACAATATTGAATGATCTTGTTCAACATTGAGTTTGTCCAGCATCCTCAGTTACACCGTCCGCCCTGGAGACTAAATGGGCACTGGCTAGTGATAAGATCAGGATTGTGAATTTACTCGATCTGAGCGCTGAGCATTCGGCATTCGGCACTGTTCGGGCTGTGTCCAACTCTGCGTCATATCAGGGTGTACGAGGGTGTGGCTTCAAGTTGCACGCAGATTCATTCCCACATCCATTCCCGAAAAACCTCAAAAACTTTAGTCATGGCCTACATGGTTGGAAATCGACGCCAGCAGGATTTGAACCTGCGCCCTCAAAGAGGAACAGATATCGATAACTGGTATACAATCGGACCAGATTCGAATCTGTCGCCGTAACCACTTGGCTATAGCGCCGTAAAAGAAATCGATCATCGTCATCACTGAATCTCCTAAGCTCAACGTAGGCTGCAGCTGTACTAAGCCCATCCCCTCTTGCCCCGCCTCCGTTCTTCCTTCCTAATGTTCCATACCTAGACCACCGCGAAAAAAAGTACGCGCCAAAAAGGTATATATACACCACTATACTGTACATCTAAACTGCATACACATAATGTCGTAAACTAACAAGAAAAAAGAGTATTACTAGTCGTAAGATAAAGTGAAAAGGCATCACCATCACCGTCATCGTGGTAGTCGTCGAACCACAACAAGAAAAAAAGAAAAGCCCTCTACTCGGACCCTTCCAGGGCTCTGACAATCCCAAACGCCGCACCAGCCGCAATTCCACCCACCAAGAGCGTGCTAAACGCACCCCAGACGATCCCACCCATTCCAGCACTCGCACCGGTAACCCTCGCCTTGATGGCACCAAAGATGAGCAAGACGATACCTGTGACTATGCACGAGTATATGAGCGCCACTTGGGCTTTGTCGATGAAAAAGTAGGGAAGGAGGGGAATAAGACCGCCAAGGAGGTAACCCATTCCGATGGTGAATGCGGAGATGTAGAGACGTTTTGTTGGAACTTCCTCTGCGGATAAGGTATATTCAGTGATCGTACGAAGTAAAAAAAAAAATGTAAAAAACAACTCACCCATCCCCTCCCCAAACTTGAGCAAAAACGCCGTCAAACCCACGTCGTTGCTCCACCTTAACCTCAGATCCTCAGCTGACGAGGGATAAGCGTCGGCAGTTTCACTCCCAGCTTTCCGCAAACTTTCCGCAACCACTCTGCAAGCTTTTTCATCCACCCCAAGCGGTCCGAGAATCTCCTCGACCTCTCGTTCCATCTCGCCCGCACAACTCACAGAGACTCTGGCAGAGGTTTGTTTGCGCAGGAAACGAAAGTGGTCGCGCTCGGCCTGGGAAGCTAGGAAGCCTCCTATACCCATGGAGATGGCTCCGGCTATGAGTTCGGCGACTCCACCGAGGACGACAAGACGAGAGGTACCGAGAGAAGAAAGACCCGCTGTTAGTGCGAATGGGACTGTCAGGCCGTCGGAGAGACCTATGATTCTATTTTCATGCTTGAGTCAATATACAGTCCGAAAAAGAAATAAACAGCGAAAAAGAAAAACTTACACGTCCCGGACAACGTCAGGATCGATAAGCGTCCTTTCTTCCTGCTTCAATTCTTTGCAGCAAACTCCATCCGCTCTCGAAGTCCTATCACATTTTGCGCTTAGCGGTGTCGACGACTCTGAAGTTACGGTGTTTGTTATAGGCCAAACAGGAGGTTTTGTCGCTTTAGAAGGGTCTTCTGGACGACGAGGAAGGGCTACTGAGGCGGCTGTAGTGTGTTCAGACATACTGGTAGTCGATATTCGTCGAAGAATACGAGGAGGTGGTGGTGGTATGAAATAAAGGAGGGTAATGGGGTGCCACTGCTGTTACGACGCGTTTGCAATGATGACACTATCCGGCAATTGAAAATTTTAAACCGGCCAATGAGAGGCGCTGAATCAGTCAGCCGTCGGCCAATCATGTGGCAAGGATTATCCGCTCGGTGATCAGTGTGGCGTACTCACCTTGCTACCCTACCAGTTATCATCAACGTTCAGCTCTGATTTCAAGGTAATAACAGTACAGTCCCCGGTCGTCCCAACTGGTGTCCAATTGGCAGCCACCTGTCTGTTGATCCTGGTAACGGCTAGCTGCTATTTTTTTTCTTTCTTTCGCAAGCATTTTGAAACGGTTGAAAAGTTCCTTCAACTTCGAAGACGGTTTAAATAGCCTGTATTTAAACCTCTCCTTGAATTCCACCCTTCACTAGGAAGATGCTAAGGTGAATTCCCAGTGTCGTTGACCGGTATCATCTGTGGCAAAAAACCTGCCCAGCCGAACCAAGTCTTGACTTGTTTTATCTTTAACCACTTTACTCGCTTTCATCGGTCTAACCTCATAACCGAGTTCTTTCCTAGACTATCTCAAAAGCTGTACATTCCATCCCGGAAGAAAGGTAAACCCAACCAGTCTAACGGTGCTTCCTCAATCTTTTATGTGCTACTTTTCACACAACTTGTGGTTCTCGATCAAACTTCTCAATTTTCCAGGTGGCTGAAATGGCACCCGAGAGAAATACCTGCTCAGCGCACAATGGCCTCTGTTTCGGTTTCTCTTGGCGTTCCTCGAAAGACCCAGGAGGTATGGGCATGGCCCTGTTCTTCAACACACTTATCGTGTCCAAGTACTCGCCATGGCTGAATGTCTCCGAGGAAGAAAGGAATGATTTTTTCTCTAGATCCTTTAAAGGATTCTTCAAAGACACGCTTGAAGGTATAAGTAATTCTAAAAAATTTTTTGTAAAACCTAGGGACCAGCTCTGGGCGAGAAAAAAAAATGATACTCACCCCAAAGCTCTCCGTTTTGTCCTACGTGCTGCTTTTAGCAGGATGTACATGCACTCTCTCCGTTCTGAGCAGCCCTGCTCCGGATCCAAGTCCAGATCCTGCCTCAACCAAAGGCGAATGGTCTTTTGTCCAAAACGGCACCACAGGCATCACAGCCTTAGAAGTCATTGTCGTCTCTCCAACCCTCATCCTCATGTTCGACAGAGTCCTCGGTGATCCTCTCCAAATCGACGGACACCAAGCATGGGCTGAGCTCTGGAACCTCGAGACTAATACTGGATTCGCTGTGAACGCGGTTACAGATACGTTCTGTGCCTCTGGGGCGTTACTTAGTAACGGCACAATGGTATGTATCTGTTCTAGGAATGAAAAACTCTTATCTGAAATTGCGTTATGTTGACGTTCTAGGTCAGCCTCGGTGGACAAGCACCGGAACTTCCACCTAATGTCACAGTCCCACCTGACGGAGATGGACGAATGGGTCTCAGATTATTCGAACCCTGCGCGGACCCTTCCGGGCTCACTTGTACGCTCTTCGAAGACCCGGCGACATTACATCTCGCCGTAGATAGGTGGTACCCATCTTCGTTGCGTATTTTCGATGGATCTCTGGTGGGTGGTTTTTTTGTTCTCGTTTCCCCTCCAATCTGCTTGAGATAGAACGAAACTGACGCTGACGATAAACGAAATGAATAGATGATCATTGGAGGAACGAATGTAGCCACGCCGTTTTATAACAATCTGTCTCCGGAAAACTCGTTCGAGTTTTTCCCTCCGAAAGATAACGGCCAAACGAGGTTCTCACCGTTCCTCGAAAGAACAGTTCCGACGAATTTGTTCCCTCGGTAAGTACGCATAGAAAAAAAGATAAGGTCTCCCTATGATCTGTCTAACAAAACTCTTCTTTTTTACCACGCTAGTGGCTTCGCTCTCCCAGACGGCAAAGTCTTTATCGTCGCCAACAACCAATCCGTTATCTACGACATCGAATCCCGTATCGAAACACCCCTTCCCCCCATCCCCAACAACGTCCGTGTAACCAACCCAATGGACGGAACCGCCACCCTCCTCCCGCTCTCGCCACCGCTCTATATACCGGAAGTCCTTGTCTGCGGGGGGTCCGATTCCAACGATGCAATCCCCTCGGTGAACTTATCCTCGCAGGACCCAGCTTCGGATCAGTGTTCGAGGATTATGTTGACGGAGGAAGGGGTGAAGAAGGGGTGGGTGGTGGAGAGGATGCCAGAGGGGAGGATGATGCCTGAGATGATATTGATGCCAGATGGGAAGGTGTTGATTACGAATGGGGCGAGGACAGGGTATGCGGCGCTTGATAGTGTGGCAGATCCAGTTGGGAATTCAAATGCGGATCATCCTGTGTGGGTGGACAGCTTTTTCCTCTTTTATTTTTTTTGGTTGCCGTCTATTTCTCATTCTGACTGGAAATGATGATGTGTGTAGGTTTACGCCAGTTTTGTACGATCCCGATGCCTCGATTGGACAGCGGTTCGATAGGGAGGGGCTTCCGACTACTGATATTGCGAGGCTGTATCATTCTGGAATTACGCTGACACCGAATGGGTGGGTTCCTCTGTGTAACCTAATCCCCCCCCCTTTGACTTAACTCTCATCTGTACACAGGAATGTTTTCCTTGCAGGATCCAATCCGAATGGAGGTGTAGTAGAAAATGCTACATTCAACACGTAAGAGCCGAGTTGTATTTGATGATTTTCGAAGAACGCGGCGTTCTGACTATCATGATTTGGGACCTAGTGAATTCCGAGTCCAATTCCTCAACCCGCCTTTTATGTCTCGTTCCCGTCCGACTATTCATAGCGTTCCTGAGAAGGTGGCGTTTAATGAGAAGGTTACAGTGGGAATTGATATTCCAGAAGACCTGGCTCGGAATGCGGATGCCTCGAATATCAAAGGTATGACTTGATGTGGTCGTTAAGCGGGCTTCGTTCACTTACATATACGCTTTACCCTAGTGGCGCTTATGGATCTAGGCTTCTCCTCACATGCATTCCATTCCAGCTCTAGACTTGTATTTATGGATGCAGAGCTATCTAGAGATCAAAAGTCACTGACCATAACGACTCCTCCAAATAATCGCGTTTATCCTCCCGGACCAGGTATGTAGATTTATTTTTTACCTGGTTTCAGAGACATGCTCACATTGGGATGTACTTATGATAAGCATACATATTCGTGACTATAGACGATGTTACGAGTCCGGGAACTAGGGTGATGGTTGGGAATGGGCTAGCCCCGCCTGTCAAGGATCAGGGTGTTCCTCTTGCATCTTGACTGTGTAATAATTGTGTCTGTAGTGTATTCGGACATGCTGGTAGTCGATATTCGTCGAAGAATACGAGGTGGTGGTGGTGGTGGTATGAAATAAAGGAGGGTTATAGCCGTTACGACGCGTTTGCAATGATGATCAACACTATCACGGCAATTGCAAAATTTTAAACCAGCCATGAGAGACGCTGTACATATATCGGTCAGCCGTGTGGCCAATCATGTGGCAAGGATTATCCGCTCGGGGACAAGTGTGGCGT